AAACTGTAGCAAACCAGGTTGAGAGTAGATACATAAAGAATAGATATCAGGATGATAAAGGGATCCCGTTATGTATCCTTTATGTATTTATTGAACGTGTGATTATTGCTTATAATCATTTATATTTTAATGTGTTTATTAATTTTGTCTTATTTCATTTTTAGTTATTACAAAAAATGAAAAACCATCGTGATGCAGTGCTACAAAGCATTAGAAATTTCATTTAGAAGGTCTTTGGGTTCAAAAACCTTCCCTAATTAAAGTCCAATGCTGCCGCAGCAGAAATTTTAGAGTGGAAAAAAAGCGATCAGGTCGCCGATTGTTTTGCTCCCTATTTGATCAAAATAGAGATAGTGTTTTTTGGGTGGCCGTTATAGCTAAAACTGCTTTCTCTATAACTGCAGTATCTATATTATCAAATAAACACTGTGCTTTTACTCTAGCTATAAATGATATTATGCTTAACCTCTAATCGAAAAAGGTTGTATACATGGTAAATAGTATGAAAAGGAGAATGAATAAGTATTTGGTAAGTATGTAGTTAACTATATATCAGATCATATCGATTCAAGTTAATAGTTTTGCCTTGGGTTTTGAATTGTAAGATGATTTCAATAAATGAGGTCACTCTTATGAATCCGCCTTAACATTAATGAATGATAAGCTAAATAAAGATAGTGAAAAGTCACAGCCAAACACTCCTAGCTATGACTCTGAACCTGATCGTCCGTTATGATCAAATTCGATGCCTCTTTCACAAGATGAGCTTGATGAGTTGTTCGGTATATATACATAATCAGTAGATTCATTTTTTTCTTTTTTTCTTTCTTTTTTCAGTTCTTTTCCTTTTTTTTCATTTTTTTTCATTTTTTTTTATTTCGCTTTTTTTCGGTTTTTTTCTTTTTTATTTTATTTTTTTTTCTTTTTTTTAAAATTATTTTTTGCATTATATGCTCTTGTATTTTAACAAATGTAAACTTGTAATTTGTACTATTTTGTATTTTATTATAAATAACAATTGTAATAAAATATTTATTAATAAAACTGCATTAATAAATTTAATATTTTGATTGAACTTTGTATAATACATAAAATTTAACTTGCAAATGAATCATGTGACTATATATTTGTATTATATAATATATTCGATATATATCATTAATTATCAATTGCTATATAAATTGTTAGTTATTGATTGCTATATAATAGGCTATTTATCGTTTATATTCTTAATCGATTAGTATCGTTTTTATAATTAACCGAATATTTATCAATATATATCATAATTGAGATAATTAGCAGAGAGGATTAAAATTGATATATATTCTTGGGGCTAGTAATTGATATATATCTATATATAAATTTTGCTAATGTTGTCATAAAGTATAACATCTGAATAACGTGATCATAGCTCAATTTGATTTGCAGTTATCCAAAATATGCTATATAATCTATTATTATCTGTGTTTATTAATAGCTATACAAACATCAATAACTCCTTCTTTTGTTGATTAAGAAAAATTTTAACAAGTAAGATGCATCAGATTCAGTAATTCATCTGTTATGTTTGATTTTCTGAATAGCATTAGAAAGATAAACAGTAGTTGCAATAAATTTCTTATGGTATGTACATTACACTGTCTATATATGACTGCAAGCTTAATTTTTGCTAATATTAGCTGATTAAATTTTCTGAATCTTATGACAAATATTGCATTATCAACTAACAAATCATGGTTATGTACTAATTTTACAAAAGTTATATATACAAAACTGCTATTGTCAAGGTTAGATAAATTAATGTGCTACTTCAATTCTTTTTTTTTTGACCCTTTATTACATTGTTGACCTAATAGTTTTGTCTTCTTGGGCTTATAAATTTTAGCATACTCACAAGCAAGTGTTCTTTTTTCACAATGAGATTAAATGGATTAGAGTCTTTGCAATAACTAAATTGATAACGATTGATAGCAAATCCTCATTGCTACCATGCTTTTTAATATAATGTTCAGCAATTAACCAAGAGAGAAAATGTAAACTAGTAACCAATTCTACTGATTCAGACAACAAGAGAAGTTCTGTAGAATTAAGATTTTCTAATTCTGATCCAATTAAAAAACTTATTAAAAAAGCAGCTTATCTTAATAAACCTAATTTTTTTTTTAGCCTTAAAATTATCAAATTTCAAATCTAAAATAAAACCTACCTTGATTCAATAGTTTAAATCCATCTAGTTCTATTAACAAATATATGTAGTACATCAGCCTCTAGTTCTAGTTCAAAAGCAAAATGGCAATTAAAAACTGAATATACCTTGATCCAAAATTTCAGAGCCATCTGATTTCATTAATTTTGCTAATTGAATTAAAGAGTTTTTAGTAGATTTAAAAATTTTCAGTTCTGAATCCAAAGTAATATCTAAAAGTAGAATAGGCTTTAACATAATCTGAGATAGTTCATCATAATATCTAATTTCAATCTTTGAACTTACCTAGGTTCAAATTCAAAACAGAGCTTATAGATGTAATATTTTTAAAGTATCCTAACTCTAAACAATTACTGTGTTAGTTCATGCATTCTATAATATACTTAATAATAAAACACCAGATACATCTATATGCCCACCATCTGATTTAAAAATTACACCTTTTATCTAATCAGTATTCATCACATCAAATTTATATGAATGATCTGTATGTAACATTAAAATTAAAAAATTAAAAATTTTTTTAAAAAATCACTTTTATCTTGAAATTTTGCTTATAAAACTATCATATTCATTCTAACAAAAGAAATTCCTTATGAAAATTTAGTATTTTTTTTAAAGCTCTACTCTTATCTTCTTAACACTAACCCTAACAC